TGGTTGACCACATCGGTTGACTGTTAAATAATTACTGTTAAAGAATGAATTACTGTTTTAAATAATGGTTTACATTACACAGCATTGTTGGTTTACAAAAATAAATCAAACAAACATAATCCTGTTGAAATATTACACTTGATTTTGGTTTTATTGTAAAAAAAAAAAAAAAAAGCGTTGAATGAAAATCTGACATTTTTATGGCATACTTCAAAAAATAAAGATGATGTATTGTTCAAAAATGTTTTATTTTAATTAAATGGTTTTACACTTAATATTTTTTAGATTTTTCATAGTATAGGTATTAATTCCTGGACTTTAACCATGAACTGACATACTGTACAGTTGAAGTCAGAATTATTAGCCCCCTGTTTATTTTTCCCCTACATTCTGTTTAACGGAGAGAACATTTTTTTCCAACACATTTCTAAACATAATAGTTTTAATAACTCATTTCTAATAACTGATTTATGAAGAAACTTTTATATTTTTAGAAATGGCATGTTTTGAAAAAAAAAAACACATTAAGTGTGTTAACTATAGCGACATTAGGAGTTAAGAAATGCAATAAAAAATGTTTTTCTTGGTGGGGCAGTTAAAGGGTTATCATAAAACAATCAATACAAATGAAGAACATTTATATGTTTGTTCATTCTGTGTATTTAAAGTCAGTGTGTCTGTTTTGTGGATCCTTCTAACATCCATAAAATGAACAAAATACTGATTAATATACATTCTCTTGTGAAAGACATTGTCAAACAGATACACAAGGGTGAATAAATGATGACAAAATTAGATTTTTGGGGGGTCAAATTTCCATTCAACACATTGCAAAACATTGTAAATCAGCTGTAAACCAAACAGGTGATTTTCAGATGACTACTCGAGACTGCGCATGTGTACGTGTGTTTGCGAGTGTGTGAGTGTGGTCTGAGACAGCAAGATTATCTCGAAGCAGCCTCTTGAGGAACACAAAGAGTGCCTGGATGCATTTGCTTATAATGAAGTCAGAATGGGTTTGGGTGGATTAATGACAATACCAACAGAAGGAACACGAGGACAGGTGCCAGCGCATTCTGGATGCGGTTCAAAGTTTTTAATTACGATTAAAAAGACTCTCTGGCACGTCGCAAACGCCTTTTCTTTTCACAGCCTTTCATATACCCCCCTCCTTTATCACATTTGAAGTGGAATTCCTTGTAAAGCCGATGGAGTTTCAAAAAGGAATGCACAGGCATCTGTACAAGTCCATCTGGCAAAACGAGTTTTTTTCCAGAAAATATTTGGCAAATTAAGAAAAGAAAGTCAAGATGGCAAGAAATAAACAGAAGGAGTGGAGTGGAGATGGATGAAAAGAAATGCATCCTGTGAATAAAGCCCATTAAACACAGACAAAAGTATGGCAGTGCTAATGTTTTCCCACACAGATTGCAAGACAAAAATGTTCTTCCTCATTCACTCACGTACTGTATACATCCTGCACAGCAGCTGTGTGGGTTTGTATGGCGGTATGGTCAGTGGCCGCTTGAAGAATAGAGCAAGTCCACTGGGATCCAGCAGACTAGCTGAAAGTCTGTTAGCACTCCATCACTGCCACTGAGAAACACTACGCTGCGCTCGCATACGTTCACATGTAAGACGGTTACAACAAAGTTAAATAGTGAAAATTTCCTTTAAACAATGTAAGACTCCAAAATCAGCACATCCAACAGCAGCTCGCCTGCGGTCCTCTTTGCCCACACACACACACACACACACACACACACTGCTGCAGTTTCTCTGATCTGGAATAGCGGTTTAATTAGTGAGGCGGTAACCACTTTATAAAGATTAGCTTGCTCTCAGGAGGAAGACTCATCGCCCATGTCTGCCTAAAGTGTCTGTGAGGAGGGTCTCTGGAGATCAAGACCCATTGTGTTCAACAGACGGTGCTTTACGACAACATATGCTTCGCTCCCCAATGCTCTTCCTCCACACACTCCATAAATGCTGTACTGTGCTCCCAGCAGTTTTTCGCTTTTGCCATTAGTGTACTTCTTTTATGGTTTTGCTTAGGCAATCTAGTTAGGGCACGGGCAAAACAAAGAAACCTTAAAACAGCACTTGGGAAGATTGCAAGTTAGCAGACAAACTTTTTTTCAAGCAAAGCTTAGCAATACGTCTCGTGCGTTTGATAGACTTTTCCAGTAGTTGATTAGTAGGACTGGATTCTGAGCAGGACGTGATTAATCAAATCAAAGACGTGTTTGTAACAGAAGCAAGTGTTCGTCTCAATTAAGAGAAAGAGATCTGCCTATTGTTATGGCACCATGGGACCAGACGAGTTAAATTAATATGGCAACTGGAGTATAAAAAGACAGGCAGCGCTTAAGGACTCTGTTTCTGCTAGCTGCCTGGTTTGATCTAATAAAAAACATGATTAACTTTAAATAAGGTTTAGAAAGAGATAGAAAAAGGAGGGGTAGTGAAACGTGAGTAGAGATTGAGGGAGGGAGGGAGGGATAGAGAGAGAGAGAGGCATGTTGGGGACAAGAAAAGCATATTTCAGTTTCAGATATTACAGTGACCGTTTAAGTTCCTTTTATTGTATCTTTCATTTCTTCCGCTTACCCTCTGGGCTATCTTTGAAACGTCTGGCGGTCTTTCCTCTGTCACAATTTCTTTATGGGAGTTGAACTGTTTCCTCCACGAGAGGCGGCAGGCGGATAACCCTCGGTAATTGTATTTATCTGACTGAAATATCGGCGGTGTCGCGCAAGCTTCGGTTGCAGCGGTAACACTGTGACCTGCGCGCGCGCCAACCTGCAGGCCACGGAGAGACTAAAAACACACGCGCCCACCAGGTGCTGCTCTCCTCACCCCGTTTTCAATTGCAGGTGCATTTCCAGCGAAAGAGTTAAAAATAAATGTTGACAAATATACTTTACAGGTAGCTTTGTCTGTGTTACCGAGGCAAATTAGAGACATTTAAGTAGCACTTTATTAACAGAGACACATGCCATGCGCATACAAAGACTTGAAATGCATCATTGCACTGATTACTCATTTAAATTATTGTGAATGTGGACACGCAGGTTGTACTTCAGAAATGTCATACACTTTTATTAATTAGTAGATTTGTATATGTTTAATAAAATACGCCCATGTATACCCACTGAATACCCGAAATGCGCTTTAAATGAGTGATTGGATGCATAAGTATGAATGCTGTCAGTGTGTGATTGAGCTAAAGAAAACCATTTTTTAAAAAGCGCATAAGTTGACTCTCTTTAAAGGATTATAACATGTATTTGAGTGCCAACATGAGCTCTTCATATATTGGCCTAGTACATTTCAAATAAACATGTAAGGGTGGTAGTTGCACATTCGAAGGTGTTTCAAATGCATTACTTTTTTTTTTCTCCTGAGAGTGCAGAAACTGATTTTAAACATCAGTTCTGGTCTTATGGACTTCTAAATGGCGAAAAATATATAACATTTAGGTTATGATAATGCTCGTTCTAAATCACCAGATCCTGAAGAGACAGAAGTCTACTGTATAATTCTATTCCATCTGTCATGAGCTCCCCCGTTGCGCGCGTGCGGCAGAACTCTGTGGATGACGCTGCACGTGCGCTTTTCTCCCACCTAAAAGTTAGTCTCGCGTGCCAAACGACTCCAACGGCTCAGAATAAATATAAAACTGTCTGCTAATAAATACTGCATCAGGAATTACAACTGTGGCGACAAAACTTTAATAACACTCGCAAGCGTCTCAGATCTTTCAAGAACGTTCCACTTCTGTCTGTTCACGACTGCGCTTTGACTTGTCACTATATTTCGAGCACAGTCGCTCAACCTTCTATAAAAAACGAACAGAACGGAGGAAAAGGCATCCATGCAAACGCAAAGTAAAGGACAGTAAAAGCGAGTAAATGGCCATTAAATGGACGTTTCCTGAGACAAGCTGAGATAATAAGGTATGATTGTGGCTGAATCGTGTCTTCCTGGCACAGTGATTACATGTTCAAGAAGTTGGACGATTTGGCACGCTCTAGCGAATTTTGTCATGCTGTAGCATTTTCTTTCACGACCCCTAATTAACCAGCCTTACAACAACAGATCCTGTATTTACGGGCAAAATAGCACAATTGTGGTGAAGCATTTCTTCAGTTCCTGTAAACGAGTATGTTATTGTGCAAACAGATTCGAACAACAGCCTTTTTAATCGGTAATAATTTCAATCAAATTAATAAAAAATAACATCAACGTTTGCATTGCTGATTATAAGCTACATCCTTCTATCAACATAAAAAATATAATCCCAAGATTCAAAATATTACTAATAGCAGCCTAAATAATTAGGCTTTATACGCTTTAAATGCACTGCACACTTTCATAAAAGTTTGAAGCGGCAGACTTTCAAGTGTCGTACAAATTCCATAAAAGAGAGAGAGGGAGAGAGAATCTCTGTCCTCTGTTAACGGGGACACGCACAATGTCAGCGCGCATTAAGCGCATTCTGCGCGTGTCTTGTCGCCGGGTATGTGGCGCCGCAGCTGTGCGAACTTCACCCGCATGCTCTGGGGGGACGAGAAACTCACAGCAGATGTTACAGCGTCTCCCACCAGTCTCCCGCGGAAAAAAAAGCAGAGGAGAGAGAAACGACAGTCTTGTTTGTCCTCTGCGGGGTCATTATTAACAGCTTAATTAATTTTAGATCTGCCTTGCGAATACCAGTTCAAACCTATACCACCAGCACACGAGCTGAGGAAATGCACTTTACAAAAAACAAAACTTGGAAAAAGTACACAACCGAAAAAAACGTACTGAGAATATATATATATATATATATATATATATATATATATATATATATATATATATATATATATATATATATATATATATATATATATATATATATATATATATATATATATACACACACACACACACACACACACTTTCAGCAGAGTTCACAAACAACTTTTGTTCAATAGAAATAATTTGAAACTCACCTGTCCGTTCTTGCACAGGTCAGCCCACATGCTGGTTCCATCGCCTCCCCTCATCAGAACGTGGTAGATAAAGAAGTATGTGCCGGGCACGCTGCAGATGAACTTTCCCGAAGTGCCATCATAGTTGTTGCCGAGGTTGGTGACCACATCGTCGAACTTGAGGATCTCGTAGCCCTCGTGTGGGTTTTTGAGTCCAGCGTAGAAAGCCACTCGTGGGTGCGTGTTGTATGTAACTGTGCTGATAGCTCCATCATTGCCCAGACTCAGAACCCCGTTTCGGCCCCTGTCCCCCCGGTCCCCCGGGGGCCCCATTGGACCCGGGGGCCCTGGCTCCCCTGGAGGCCCCGGAGGTCCGGGTTTGCCTGGTCGGCCCGGCTTCCCCGGTGGCCCCTGGAGGAGCGTAGAGGGTGGAGGCATGTTGCTGTGGTCGGCCAGAGCCTCGGCCTCGGCCTGTACAGAAGAGCCGGTGCTGGCGATGCCCGTGGTGGTGCCCTTGTTCTGGTATGGATCGCACACCATTCGACAGGTGCCCAGCATCTCATAGTGGCTGTTGTCATTGCTCACGGAGCTGACCAGCACGGGGATAAGCACCACCAGCACCAGCACCAGCATGACCCCTACAGCAGCCGCCACCAGGGTCTTCCTGCCCAGGCTGAGGCGCGGGAGTGGCTGGGCAGCCAGCGTGGGTCTGCCGGGAGCCGAAATGGTGACTGCTGGAGAAGAAGAGACCGCAGAAAGAGAGAAAGAGAGACAGAAGGGTGAGGGGGTCCCGAGAAGGGACAGGTGCCAAGCCCTAGGAGCCCAAGCTTGTGGAGGAGCGTGTGAGGGTGAAAGAGACCCACATGTACACGCTCACCCACTCTTGCCTGCTTTTCTAAGCTGATTCACTGGATCCTTTGGGCTGGCAGGAAAGAGCTTTCATACAGATCCCACATCCGCTCGATCTCACTCTCACTCACTCACACACATACGCACTCACACACACACGCGCGCATGCATGCCGACGCGCTCACACACTCTCCCAAAAAGTCAATCCCATTGTCTGGTGCACAGAGTTGCACTCGGTAATGAAGAGAATGAGGGATGGCAGAAGCAGCAAAAAGGAAGAGAGGATGAAGAGAGCAAGTGTGTGCATGGGAGTGAAGGACAGCATGCACGCAAGAGAAAGAGAGAGAGTACAGATATAGAGGAGAGACAGGGTATGTTTGCAGAGGCGTTTTCTCAGACTGAGGGTTTTATACTGAGCCCCCCCTCCCCTCCTCCTCTCCTCTCCCTCTCTGTGTCACAGCGATACAGCCAGGGGAAGGGAAGAAAAGTAACCAAGAGAAGAGGAGAGAAGGAAACAGGAACATTTAAATGGGTGAAAACAATACAGTAGGATACAAACAAAATATATCACAAAGAAAAAAGTCCAAAGTGAACATTGATTTGCTTTCTGCTAAGCTTTATTAAAAAGCCTTCTTTAAATAAATAAAAAAAAAATTATATACTTTTTATATAATAAATACACAAATACATTTTGCAACCCTGATCCAGAAATGTGGACTGTGCAAAAAATATAAAATGTTTTAGACAAAGTTATCGTGAAAGTCAGCCTCTGCTCTAAACATAACCATCACTGCAAGGCATAAGACGATTGTTTGACACCAAATGAGATGCTTCAAATTCGTATGAATTAGACCACAGTTGACATTCCTGGATGGGGGTATAGTCCTTATGCTCATAAATCCTTATGCTGAACATTTAAACAAGGAATCTGTCACATTCATATTCATGGCACATCAATATTATATTTCAATATTAATTAGTTAAAAATGTGCACAACAACAACAATAATATTAATAATATATAATAATAATATTAATAATAATAATAATAATAATAATAATAATAATTAGAGTTTACATGTTCTTCCTGCGTTCGTGTGGATTTCCTCCAGGTGCTCCGGTTTCCCCTACAAGTCCAAAGACATGCACTATAGGTGAATTGGGTAGGCTAAATTGTCCGTAGTTTACATGTGTGAATGAGTGTGTATGGGTGTTTCCCAGTGATGGGTTGCAGCTGGAAGGGCATCCGCTGCATAAAAACATTTGCTGGATAAGTTAATGGTTCATTCCGCTGTGGCAACCCCAGATTAATAAAGGGACTAAGCCGAAAAAAAATGAATGAATAAATAAATGAATAAATGAATGAATAATAATAATAATAATAGTAATAATGACCCATTTAATCGAAATGCAACAGTAAAATATTTTAGATTTTAAAAAGCACAATTATAATAATAATAATAATTTCATAATAATAATTTAATAAAGCTTTCCAAACAGCAAATCAATGTTTAAATATATATATAATAATATATTATATATATATATATATTATATTATATTATATATTATATATAATATATTATAAATATAATAATAATAATTTCATAATAATAATTTAATAAAGCTTTCCAAACAGCAAATCAATGTTTATATATATATATATATATATATATATATATATATATATCCTTGGCGCAGTGGGTAGCACAGTCGCCTTACAGCCAGAAGGTCGCTGTTTCTAGCCTCTGCTGGGTCAGTTGGGATTTCTGTGTGGAGTTTGCATGTTCTCCCTGTGTTCGCGTGGGTTTCCTCCGCTTTCCCCCACAAGTCCAAAGACATGCGATACAGGTCAATTGGGTAGGCTAAATTGTCTTTAGGGTGTGTGTGTGTGTGTGTGAATGAGTGTGTATGGATGTTTCCCAGTGATGGGTTGCAGCTGGAAGGGCATGGATGAGTTGGCGCTTCATCCTGCTGTTGCGACCCCAGATTAATAAAGGGACTAAGCCAAAAAGAAAATAATGAATAATTATTATTATTATTATTATTGGTAGTAGTAGTAATAATCATAATAATAATAAAAAATTATATCAATCATAAAATAATATTAATAATAATAATAATAATAATAATAATAATAATAATGACCCATTTAATAGTAATGCAACCATGGAATATTAAAAAAAAAATAAAACCTTTCTTGTTCATTTTGGAGTGAAAATCCACTCACATGCAGACATCAACATCCTGTTATAGAACTGTCATACTGTAATAATTATTTTAAATAGCATTATAATAAGATGATCGTTTAAGGACAAACTCACTTGCTATACCTAATTGCATGTGCCTTCGACTTTGAGTTTGTCATATAGAGTCTTATTGTATTTCACTTACTTTTTTTTCCTTGGGTGCCAATAAAGTTCCCTCCTCCTCCTCTTGCTCAGAAATGGTTTGTTATTGGCCTGTTGCGTTTTTGAGCATGGTGTCTATTGATCTGGTCTTTTGATTGAATTAAGGGTCCTGTGTGGAAAAGAAATCCATCTCTGTGGCTCATACTACACAGCTGACATTTCTATCCAGAGTGCGGCTCGCTGGAAAGAAAACTGAAGGTTTCTGGACATATTGTATGATCTTAAATTACAGCAGGTGTGTGATGTGGATAAAGATGAGGTTTTGTTAGGATTCCCAAGTGTTTTGATCTGATCATTTTGAAAGAAACATCTGTGTTTTGATTCGTTCACTATTTTATCCGAAGATTCTTTCAGGCTATGAGAGAAAACAGCGAGAGGAAGTGAGAGATAAAGAAGCAATGAAAGATAGAGATGTCAATAGATAGAAAGAGCTACTGAATGGCTAGAAAGGGAGGCAGTGATGATCCCGTGTGTTCACTGGTCTAAGCACTGTGGTAATATATGACTTGATGATGTTTTCATTGCCATTGATGGGTTCAGTAAAAGAAGTGTGATTGAAGAGAGGAAGGTGTGGTGACATTTATTGGTAGGGAACTGTGAGTATTTGCGCTGCTCAGTTTCACATATTGATCTTTTCCAGGAGTTCACTGGACACCTATGTCCAATCTTCTCATTCACCCTGTAACTGGATTATTGAAAACCATGTTTTTAACCCTAAATATTTATGTCCATTAATGTAAATACAAGTTTTTTAATCTAACTAAAAAGCTATGAATGAGATCAAATAACCACTCTGTTTATTGAATCGTGATTATGCAACATAGAAATCAATGACATGCATCCAGCCAATAAAAAACAAAGAAAATGTCTCTACAAAATTTAAAATTGTATTTAACGCCAAAAGTCATTAAAATATTGAGTAAATATAATCTTCCATAAATATATTGTGTGAATGTTCTTTCATAAGGATATCGAATTTAATTTCTGATTCATAAAATGTTTATCTTAGCATAGCTAAGAGTTAATTTCAATAAATTTAAAGGCGGTTTTTAAATAATTTTTGAATCCTCCGATTCCAGATTCAGGCAACACGATGGCACAGTTGGTAACACTGGTGCCTCAAAGCAAGAAGGTCACTGGTTCAAGCCCCAACTGAGTCAGTTGCCATTTCTGTGTGGAGTTTGCATGTTCTCCCCGTGTTCGCTTGGGTTTCCTCTAGTTTCTGCCACAGTCCAAAGACATGCGCTATGTGTGAATTGAATGAGCTAAATTGGTCGTATTGTACAGTGTGTGTGTGAATGCAGGAGTGTATGGGTGTTTCCTAGTGCTGGGTTGCGGCTGGAAGGCCATCCGTGGTGTAATAACATGCTGGATAAGTTGCCGGTTCATTCGGAAAATGGAACATTTATTCATTCAGGTTTCATGTGTTTTAAAATCTCAATATGAAAGCATTGAAATTTAAGACCGGATTTGTGGTCCTCTGTCACATTTTGTCCAGAAATTGTATTCTGGTTTATTTATTAGCATAATACCATTTACATATTTTTTTTTTATCCAGAAAGCAAAAGTGAATCTTATGAAGAGATGATTAAACATTTAAATAATATATATACAGTAGTACTCTCACTACAATGATTTATTTAAACTTCTCTGTTGGTTTTAAGAATATCAACCAGCCAACATACACTCACCGGCCACTTTATTAGGTACACCTATTCAACTGCTTGTTAACTCAAATTTCTAATCAGCCAATCACATGACAGCAACGCAATGGATTTAGACATGTAAACATGGTCAAGACGATCTGCTGCAGTTAAAACAGAGCATCAGAATGGGGGGAAAGGTGATTTAAGTAACTTTGAACATGACATGGTTAGTGCCAGACGGGCTGGTCTGAGTATTTCAGAAACTGCTGATCTACTGGGATTTTCACTCACAACCATCTCTAGGGTTTACAGTGAATGGTCTGAAAAAGAGATCTCCAGTGAGCGGCAGTTCTGTGGACATGAATACCTTGTTGATGGCGGAGGTCAGAGGAGAATGGCCAAACTGGTTTAAGATGATAAAAAGGCAAAAGTAACTCAGCAGCAGAAAACCACACCTTGTGTCACTCATATCAGCTAAGAACAGTAAACTGAGGCTACAGCTCGCACAGGATCCATCCTGCCTTGTATCAATGGTTCAGGCTGGTGGTGGTGGTGTAATGGTGTGTGGAATACTTTCTTGGCACACTTTAGGCTTGTTAGTACCAATTGAGCATCCTTTCAATTTCACAGCCTACCTGAGTATTGTTGCTTACCATGTCCATCCCTTTATGACACCAGTGTACCCATGTTCTGATGGCTACTTCCAGCATTATAATGCACCATGGCAT